TTGATGAAATTAGAGATTTTACTCTTTTTTTCTTGGTTAGGAAGGCCAAAGGTTTATTTATTTTATTGACCTTTTCAGAAAACCAACTTTTTGATTTATTGATCTGTTGTATAATCCTTTTGTTTTCAATTTCATTTAATTCTGCTCTAATTTTGGTTATTTCTCTTCTGCTGGGTTTGGGATTGGAGTGTTCTTCCTTTTCCAGTTGCTTGAGATGTCCCATTAAGTTGTTAACTTCCTCTCTTTCCGTTTTCTTGAAGAAGGGTTGCAGTGCTATAAAGTTCCCTCTTAGGACTGCCTTTGCAGTATCACAGAGGTTCTGGTAACTCGTGTTTTCATTATCATTTTGTTCCAAAAATTTGGTAATTTCCTTCTTGATCTCGTCTTTGACCCACCTATCATTCAGCATAAGGTTATTTAGCTTCCAAGTTTTTGTATGAGTTTGCAGATTCCTGTTGTTACAGAATTCAACTGTTATTCCATGATGGTCTGGGAAGATGCAAGGAATAATTTCTATTCTTTTAAATTTGCTGAGATTAGACTTGTAACCTAAGATGTGGTCAATTTTGGTGTATGTTCTGTGGGCTGATGAGAAAAACGTGTATTCAGCTTTGTTAGGATGAAATGTTCTGTAGATGTCCATTAAATCCAGATGCTGAATGGTTAAGTTTAAATCTAAAATTTCTTTGCTAAGCTTCTTGTTGGAGGATCTATCCAATACTGCCAAAAGAGTATTAAAATCTCTGACTATGATGGAGCTAAGAGAAATCAAGTTGCTCATGCCTATCAGAGTGTCTCTTATAAATTGAGGTGCATTCTGGTTGGGTGCATAAATATTGATAATTGAAATCTCATCGTATGGAGTATTACCCTTAACAAATATAAAGTGACCATCCTAATTCATGCTTATGTTTGTTGGTTTAAAGCCTATTGTATCTGTAAATAGAATTGGAACACTTGGTTTTTCCTACTTTCCATTTGCTTGGAATATAGATGACCGTCCCTTCACCCTGAATCTATATTTATCTTTTAAGGTAAGATGAGATTCTTGTATGCAGCAGATATCTGGCCTGAGTTTTTGTATCCAGTCATCCAGCCTGTGCCTCTTTCAAGGAGAATTTAAGCCATTCACACAGATTGAGAATATTGATAAGCCTGGTAAAATTTGTGTATCGAGTTTTTTGAAAGTTCGGTGGACATTTTTAATCCTTTCACCTATGTGGAAGTTGGAATTTGAGCAAAAGTTTCTGAGTGAGTTTACTTTTGTGGTGGAGGATTGCGCTGGTGTTTATGGAGTATAGGTCTGAGAATATCCTGGAGAGCTGGTTTAGTTATGGCAAATTTCTTCAACATGTGAATGTCATTGAAGTATTTAATTTCTCCATCATAAATGAAACTCAGTTTAGCTGGATACAGGATCCTGGGTTGAAAGTTATTTTGTTTTAAGAGATTAAAAGTTGATGACCACAGTTTATTGATCCATTCATTGATCAATGGGCTCTTGGGCTTCTTCCATGACCTAGCAATTATAAATTGGGCTGCAATGAACATTCTGATACAAATATCTTTATTGTAGTGTGATTTTTGGTCTTTTGGATCCATAAACTGTGGTATATGTACACCATGGAATACTATGCAGCCATAAAGAAAGATGGAGACTTTACCTCCTTCATGTTTACATGGATGGAGCTGGAAAATATTCTTCTTAGCAAAGTACCCCAGGAACGGAAGAAAAAGTATTCAATGTACTCAGCCCTACTATGAAACTAGTTTACAGCTTTCATATGCAAGCTAGAACCCAATTTTAACCCAGAAATATGGGAATAGGGGAGAGGGAGGGGAGGGGAGAGGGGAGAGTGAGTGGAGGGAGGGTGATTGGTGGGATCACGCCTATGGTTCATCCTATAAGGGTACACGTGAATCTTCCTAAATGTAAAATATAAATGTCTTAACACAATAACTAAGAAAAAGACACGAAGACTATGTTAACTAGTTGGATGAAAGTAGTTGAAATTTTATACAGAAACAATACATTTTACCCCATGATAGTATTAATGTACACTTCTATGATTTAATTTTTTAAAAAGTTGATGATCATCCTCTTCTACCCTGAAAGGTTTCAGCAGAAAGATCTGCGCTCATTCTAATATTCTTCCCCTTGTAGGTTTTTGTTTTCTTATGTCTAGTTGCTTTCAGAATTTTCTCTTTCATATTAACTTTAGTGAAGTTAATTATGATGTGCCTGGGGGAAGTCTTGTTCAGGTTGAGTCGTGCTGGGTTTCTGAAACTGTCTGCAATCTGAATTTCAGAATCTCTTGGCATATCTGCAAAGTTCTGTTTCAGAATTTCATGAAGAAGAGCCTCTACGTTTTGTGAAGCAACTTCATTGCCTTCAGGGATTTCTATAAAGTGAATATTAGTTTTCTTTGAATTATCCCAGAGCTCTCTGAGAGAATGATACATTTTGCTCACCATTTATCTTCCTCTTTCAGCTCTTGAGTGCATTCAAAAGCTTTGTTTTCAATGTAAGAGATTCTTTCTTCTGCCTGGTCCATTCTGTGAGCAAGGGATTCTACTGTACTTTTCAGATTTTTGAGGGCTGCAAACTCTTGCCTCAATGTAGCTAAATCTTTGGTCATTTTATCTTTGAAATCATTGAATTCTTGAGACATTGTTTGTATAATTTGAAATTCTGATTCCCTCTTTCCTCCATTCTGTTGATCTTATTTGCTATCCAGACTCTGAACTCAATTCTGACATCTCAGCCATCTGTATGGATGGGGTCTTCAGTTGCATCTGTCATGTCTTTCCTTGGGGAGTTTGATCTACTCTAGTTATTCATGTTACTGGAGTTTTCCCACTGATTCTGCCCCATGCTGAATTTACACCATTTGGCTAGGTGAGCAGATAAAGAGAAGTTAGGTTGGGAGCTCCAGGAGTAGTGATTCACTAGCCCTTTGCCCAAAGGCTGGGACTGGTGTCTGTACCTTTTCCCCTAGAGCTTTGCCAAGGACCCATATAGTGCTTTGGCTAAGAAACTGGGGGCCTGCTTGGTGTGGTGGTGCTAAGTGTCTCTGTCTTGTTTTCAGTTGGTCTCTATTCTACCCTAGTAAATCAGTTACTCTGTCTTTAAGTTTCAGCTGTTGAGAAATACCAGCAATTAAGTCACCCCACCCCCCATAGGCAACAATTGGGAAAGGAAAATCACACCTTCCCACAACTACACACCCAGGTACCACTTTGGATAGTCCTTGGGTGATTGGCCCAGTTCAAGAGATTCAAATCAATTGTCCCAGTCAGCACTGGTCTCAGATGGGGGAGTTCAAAAGGTGTCTGGTAACTAGACAGTAGGGGTCTACTGGCAGCTCAGGTATGACTTGCTCCAGTGCTCTGTGAGTTCAGAAGGACCAACCTAGCAAATAAATTGGTCTGGGAAAGTTGATGCCTCCTTCCCCACCTTGCACCTTTGTCACACTCAGTCACTGGTAACCCTACAGGGCTGTGACCAAGTTGTCCAACAAGTGAGTGTGGCAGGACTTTATGTCTGCCGGAGTCAAAGTAAAGTCAATGCCTTCTCCACTCAGTTACTGCTCTTTGTCACTGGCCAGCAGAGAGAGCTGAAACCTGTCTGTCTCAGGCATTCAATGGGAGCTGGAGAATGTTCCACCTGAAGTCAATCTAGACTTGGAATTTGTTTCCTTATAGTCATGGCTTGCCTTGGCGGGGAAGATATACATTTATCTATCTCTTCTCTCAGCTCAGCTCTCCTCCCTCAGCTTCATTGGGTTCTTTCTGGCCATTATCTCTCCCACTGGACTGGAAGTTTTGTTGAATACTAGCTCCAGTCAGCCCTCACCCCTCTGTTTCCCCATGTTCTTATTGAATATGAAAATTGGAGTTAGGGAAAATAGCCAACCTGAGGATTAAGCAAAGTACAAAACACATTGAAACCAAATGAACAAATAAACAGACAAAAATGCTATCAGACACACAAGCACACAGCTGCACAATCAGAAACAAGTAAACAAACAGACAACAACAACAATAACAACAAAAATGGTAATCATAAAATGATAAAAAAAGAAAAGGAAAATAAAACTCTATTAGTCTGATGTAGGCACTCTCAGCAACCATAAGAAGGGAAGGAGAGGAAGAGAGAAGAAAAAAGGAAAAATAGTATTAATAATAAAATAAAAAATAAAAAATACCCTAACAATAACTCATACAAGAAAAGGATGAAAAAATAAAAAGAAAAAAAAAGGGGGCACGACCAAGAAAAATATTATTCTTATTTATATGTACAAACATACAACTATACATATGGCATAGGGATCAACTTTAGTGGGAATATATTTATGTTGCAATATACTTTATAGACAGCAGGTGGTGCTGTGAGTGGTTCCCAGGCTTATACCTGTTTCTTGGTTGTTTTTTTTTTTCAGTTTGTAAAATAACATTTATTTATGGAGCATTAATAAAAGGTTTAAACTAATTAACCTATGGAACAAAGGGCATAAACCTAAAACTCAGTTTCCCTATTTTTTTAATATCATGTGCACAGGCATCTTTGACTCCTTGACTATGAGTTAAGGTTTTCTTTTTTTACTAGAAAAGATAACAGGGAAGTGGTAAACAAGTACTGAGATCTTCTATGGATTAGAGTCTCAGGGAAGAGATTCAAACTCCAGAAAAGGTTAGGGTAGCAGCTCTAGTTTGTCTTCCATCATCCACTTGGTTGGCTTGTTCTCATTCCACACTAAAGTCTCCTTTTTTGTCTAACCAAGCACTCAGCACCTTTTCACCACATCCTTGTACCCTGGAGCCTGCCTTTCTGACACAGGCTTCAGAAATGGACTGCTGAACCTGTGACTGGCAATCATCTTCCAGACTGGCAGGACTGTCTTCTTAAATAGTGAATGATCCTTAACAGGGACAACTTTGCATAAATCAATCAGCTTTGAGGAGGTAGCATGGCTGAAAAGGATATCCATCAGAGGAGTCTCTGGAGTGCTGAAGCCATCATCACACTCACCAGAAGGGGGCTGCTCTTCCATTTCTGACACATACTCTTCACTCTGGTCTTCCTCTTTAGATTCTTGTTGAGCCTCTCCCTGTGAATCCCCCTCTTCACTCTCTGTGGGTAGTCCCCGAACTGCATGAATAGCTGAGGGAGATATAGCCATTTCTGGCTTTCCATCTTCTGCCAGTGGCTTCTGTTCAGTTTCTAAGAAGTCTACCTTGGCTGAACGCTCTTTGGTCTCACTACAAGGCTCCCCTTCTCCTTCAACAGTTTCAATTTCCTTTCCCTCTTGTTTGATACCAGCTGGAGGGCAACAGCCTTCATTTGATTCTTTGCTGCTAATGCACAATGGCTCCAGTAAGTAAGCTACCTCAGAGAGAAAGTGGAGGAGGTTCTGGCGGCTGATTTGCTCTGACTCTTCCTGAGATTCCTCACTGACTCCATCCCCTACAAGAAGTTCACTATGTTCTCTCCCTGAGCTGCTTTCCTCTAGTTCTTCAGCCCTCGGATCCTCAGTTTCTCTCCAGCTGCTCACATCAAGATCCAGACTGGAGTCTCATGAGCTGAAGAGGGACCTGCAGTCGTTGCTCAACTCAGATTCATTGGGACAGTCTTGTTGAGAATCCAACCAAACGCACTCACGTCTCATCTGGATCTGCTCCAAGACATCTCGTTGCATCTCTACTGCCGTATGATAGACATCATGGTCCGAGCTATTATACATTACAGCATTCTGAAACATCAGCATAATGTCATGCTGAAATTCAGCTGTGCTATGGATCAGTCCATTTTCAATGTTTTTCTTAATAGTTGACAAATCCATAGGCCTCTGAACAATGCTGTGGTAGCCAGGTGCTATGTCATCTGTAACAGGCTGCAGAAAGACATTGGCATACCTATGATTAGCTTCAGCTCTCCATACAAACATGATGGCTTTCTTCCAGATTTTTTGTGCTTGAATAGCTTCTTGATCTTCACTACAGACAGAAAACTGTGAAGAAGCAGGGCTACTGGGGATGGAGTCTGCCAGTGTGTGTGACTGCAGAGTAGCATTATGTATGCTAAAACCATCATCACTCTATCTCACAGGGGGTTCATTATCCATTTCTGACAAATAGCCTTCTCCTTGATCTTCTTCCTTAGGCTCCTCCAAGCTGGCCACTTCACTGACTCCATCTTCTTCCTCATCCTCACCTGGGGCATCCTTTATCTGGCTTCCAAAAATAGTCCCTGATTCTTCTTTCAATGAGTCTGACATTTCAAACTTGTGCTGAGTCTCTGCCTCTAAAGGGTCATCAATGGGATTTGAGCCATGTGATGGAGACAACATGCTTTCAGGAGATGCCTCTGTCTTCACAGTTGTTAGTGGAGTCTCATCGCCTTTTGCACTGGCAACATCTGCTTCAGCAATCTCTCCAGCTGTAGTACTTCTGGGTTCCTCATCCATGTCCTGACTCCTGAGTTCTGGTGGCTCCATACTTGTAGCTGGAATAATTCCAGCTATTTCAGCCCCTGAAATGCCTGGCTCTGGTTCTGCAGGTTCCACCTTGATCTCAACACTGGGCTCCCTGATGTCCACCAGTTCATGGATTCCCTTGTTTTCTGTTTCCTCAAAGTCCAGCCTCTCTTGCTTCACTGTCATCTCTGGTGTAGGGAGAGGTACTGCCTTGTCCCTCTCCTGCTGCATAGGGTGCTCCCAGGGACCAGGCAGAGACTGGGGATCATCATTTTCTTCACAAAATGACAGTGCTGCTTCCACTGCTGCTACATCCAGCACCTCAGGATGATCGTCTACCT